GCTAACAGCAGCTTGTGTGCATCCGGTTCCTAACAGTGGGAAATACCTCCTGTCAAAGACGTGTTGCATCCCAGCGTTGTTGGAGGAATGTTGTTTTGGCATTAATGAAGTCAGGAGCGGGAAAAACCTCTTGTAGTTATTACCTCATTTTTGCCCAGCAGAGCTGAATGGTTGGAGTGTATTAGGTGAGCTCTGGGAGCCCTTCCATTCAAGCCCATGGCTTGAATGGAAAGAATAGCTTTTTTTGAGGCCTGCAAGATTTTGCTGTGGAATCCTGCAGTGTTTCAGAGATGGTTGTCGTTGTTCACTCTTTGTAGATTTTCAGCTCTTTTAAGATCTGGTACAAAGTCAATGCCAATTTCTTTTGTTGATTCCAATGGGACTTTATATCAGCACTTAATTGATTTACTAGCTCTTCTCCTAGAGCAGCTACACATACCCATTATTAGATATGACTGATATTTAATCACACTCTCAGATCATCACAGCTAGATTCCTCAACTTCCAAGGGACACTATGCAGGAAATGGGGTTTCAGCTGTTTCAGTTTCCCCAGACTTGCAAGAAACTTTTTCTCGCTCAGAATAACAGAGTATAGACTGTGTCACTTTGCAAGTTTTGGCTTCCTTTGTCTGTTGAATTCAGCAGTCCTTAGTGATAACAGTGATGTGGAGATCATCAAAATGTGAGGGGGAAGCTTGCACTGGCCTTAATATCTGTAAAATGGGCTGCATAAAGATTTTTTTTCTGCAACTTTTCTTTTTTAATTTTATATACTTTTCACAAGGCTTTGGTTTTATGATATTTTCACTGTATATTGATGTCTGCTTTCACTTCTGTTCCTAAAAACATTAAATCAGCACCACAGCTTTCTGGAGCTCTTACATTTTTAACGTCTTTTCTCCCTAAATCAATAAGCTTCTGCAGCAAAGTCTCATTCCAGATAAGCAAACAGTATCTGCAAAGCTGTTGCATTCAGTGATGCTTAGGAGTTCTGATAAAGTGGTATATTTCTGAGGGAGAGATGGTTAAACCCTGAAAACCCTGAAGTGGTTTCTTTCTGTCAAACAATATTTGAGATTTGAGATCTTAGAGAAGAACTGGGAGTTTTCACTGAATATTTGAACACAAAGTACTTCTATGCAGAAAAGTGCTGTGCAAGTCCTTGCTGATTGATTACATAAGGCTTCTTCATACTACTAAGACGCATCCTTGAAGGGAGGACAGTGTGCAATATTTGTTATTTGAAATCTTTCTAATAGAGGTTAAATTCTTCAGTCTTTGATTCAGCGGGAGATTGTTATCTTAAAAAAAAAAAAATCATGGAAAAGGAAAGGAGCAGTGGGGGAAGGAAAAATGATAATGTGTCAGGATAGCGTGAGAAATGCCCTGGGGAGGTGGCAAACACTTCTGCAATTAGCAGTGTGAAAATGGCAGATTTGTTAGTGATCTCCATGCATTATTAAAAGCAGCAGAAACAAGAGCTGCCCACTGTTCCCTCTCCTGATAGGGATAGGTTCCTTATTTTTCCCCCCGTTTTCCTTCCCAGCTGGTCACTTTCTGTCACGCTGGCTTCGTTTCAAGCCTGGCTGAGGAAACCGTCCTGGGCACTTGCTCTGAGCATCAATTTTTTTCCTTGGCAGGCACAGCCAGGCCCCATCGCCCCTGCTCAAGCCCAGATAAGCTAATCCGTGCTTGACTGGCAGAGCTGGGCTTGATGATGGAGTAGCTTCAGGCGCCATGAGAGATGGTCATCCTGCACCTTTTCTGTGTATTACCTTAATCCTTCACAAGCTTGCCCTCAGCAGATTCACACAGGGATGGGAGATGTGTGTGAGCAATAACCTTCCCTCCTGCGCTCACAGCTGATTTGGTCTGTCCACATTATCTCCCTGCTGCCAACAGGGCCATTCATATCCACCTTCTTCCTTAGAAACAGGGCTGCTTCCATCATTCCTTTCCCCATGCCAGAGCTAAGCCTTCTCTGAATACATCCATCTCTCCTCTTTCCCCAGTGCCAAACCTCAGCCTCTCTGTATTTGCCTCCTCCTAACACTTCCCACTATAAATCATTGCACTGTTTTCAGATCTGATATCCTACCTGCTGCACTCTGCACCACAGCTTTCCTTCAATCTGGAGTGCTTTGAAGCACTGCTAATGAGAACTTAATAATGACACCATCTGGGTGCTAAACTACATCTTCTCACACAATTTGTCCCGCTAACAGCACTGGTATAAGGAAGCGATATACATGCAAAATGTCATAAAACAGAATTGTTGCATTGCTACAATTTGTTAGGCTGGTGCAAAGAACACCCTAGATTGCACCAAACTGCTCTCCTACCAGGTTTTGCACTGTTACATCAGTAAGTAAACTATATAAAGCACAAATCTTAAGCGATAGAGAAAGGTGTCACTGAACTCCCAGAAGCAACAAGAACAAAGAGCTGTCTGTCTCTAGGCTGTGTTTTGCTCTCAAGCCTCCCAACAGCAGCCATCTGTAGAGAAAACAGCTTAAGCACGGTCCTTCCTCTGCGCAAAGCCGGTACCCTAACGTCACTAGATGAACAGATGTGAAATCCAGCTTCGCCGAAAGATGGGGCTAGAGACCTCCTTCCCCAGCAGGGCTGCACCCCGTGCCTGCCCCTGCCCCTGCTCCCAGAGCAGCTCTGCATCCTGTGCACCAACAGGCAGTGCTACCAAGTCACTTCAAGCTGCCAGGCTTCAAGGAGCAGTTCTGCTAAAGGCAGGCATGGGCCTGTGGTGCCATTGTGTTTGTACTACAGGGATTTACGCCTTTTGAGGCTGGCAAGATGGGACAAGACATATTGAGCCTCCTGGATATGTATGTTAAATTCTGATTTATTCTTGCAAGAGGGAAAGCATCCTTTGTTCATGCTTACTCAGTATCTGCACAAAATAAAAGCTAATTAGGTCAGTTCAGCTTGAAGAGGAGCTGTAATTTGCTGGCAGCTCAGCCGTTACAGTTAGAAGTAGTTTATTATGCTAGACAAAAACACGCTACTGTGGAATCACCCTATACAATTAGGCCTTCAGTGCTGCCAAAACAATGTTTTTCATTAGTCCCCCAGATGCAGGTGTTTTCTCTGAGGTCCTTTGCAGCTCTGACTTATTCAGAGATGTGAGTGCAGGCTTCTTGTCTTCCTGCATGCACAAGAACCCACGTACACCACTGATTTTTTTACAGAGGAAAAAAGTGCTGTTGCTGAAGACAGTCCCTCTGTCTTCAAAGCACTTTGGCAATTGTGAAAACCTGTCTGGATTTCTCTGAAGATGGCTAGTTTTGCCTACTGGAGAAACATGATTTATCTGGCTGGCACTGAGATGGATTGATGCATGCAGAAGAGGAAAGATTTCTCTATCACAGCTTTTGCAATATAGATTTTACGAATTAACAACAGGGCTTAATCACTGAGTAAGCAAAGTTAAATTGCAACCAAGAGCAGTTCCCATTAATTCTCAAGTTTGTACTCTGATGTTTTATAGTGAGGCTACATTTTAGGAAAATACTACAATTGCTTCAATTTTTCAGAACTGTCTAGATATGATAGTTCAAAATACTCTAACATGTTGCTAAGTTGTTGCTCTATATGCAGCCCTTGAAGGCAAGCACATACATAAGCTCTTGCAAGATCAGAAGTTGAGAAATAGGTCTCCAAGTTCCAGTTGTGGTGGGAATTGGGTACCTACTGTGTAAGCTGCTTTCAAAATCATATAATCTTCTCTATTCTCTATTAACCTGCTGAGACAAAACTGATAGCAAGATGTATTTGCACTGAACTTATTTTGTTATGTATACATTTGGTGCATTTAGAGCAGTCAAGTCATCCTTAATACAACCACTGTGTTCTTATTCTGCTATCATCACTGCACTGTCACAGGCAAAGATGGAAAGTTAGTGTCAGCCTCAATTCTGTATTTCCTGGAGGCTTAAATTGGTTTAAGATAGACCTTTCACACCACTGGGATGACTTCTAGATTTCTGCCTTTGGGGAGAAGAGGTCAACATGAGCTTTACAAGTAATTTATTTGAAAGAACGCTGTCAAGGTTCATAGACTCAGAACTGGAAATATTCAGTTGCCTGCAAATTCACATAATTCTTTCTATGTGTTGTTTCTAAGCAAATCTACCAGAGCTCATCTTCCTAAAAATAAACCAGCAGATGTAGCCCAATATGCCTGAGCCCCTCTAAAATGTATGCTGAGTACATAGTATCTGAAACATGTTACTATGAAGAGATGGGTAATCATACCCAAAAATCTGAACATATACAATCTGGCAGTTTGTGAACCTTCACATTTGGGTCTTGATTCAGGGTGAGCCTCTCTATTGATGCTGATGGGCATGAACATTGCAGAGATGCATTGTTTGCAGAAGCGTTCACTGACTGCAAAAGGTCTCATGTTATTTGGGAGGCTGTTTACTCATCCTTTCAATTTTTAGCTGCAGATAATTCAGAAAAGGAACTTCTATGTGCTGCTAAACATCAGTTAGCAAAGACAACAAACACAAGGACTCTGATGTTGACCGATCACAGATGCAGAACGAAATGAGGGCAAACCAGTTAACAAACCACATAGCAAATGCTATCATAGGGTCATCAAGGTTGGAAAAGACCTCCAAGATCATCTAGCCCAGCCATCCACCTACTACCAATATTGCCCACTGAACCATGTCCCTTAGTACAGCAACTGAATGTTTTGTGAAACGCCTCCAGAGGTGATGACTCAACCACCTCCCTGGGCAGCCTTTTAGAAAGGAGAATGGTGAAGAATTGCACTCAGAGTGGAAAGGAGATTGAAAGTAGGAGCAATTTAGGGCTGGGTATGAGGCACTCTGGACGGCTTGAGCAGCCTCACTGCCACAAGCAAGCAGGTAAAAATCTGCTCCACCAGGAGCACATGGGCAGAAGGGCAGGGGTATGATGAGTACCCACTTGGGCTCTGGAATTGCTGAACAAAACAAATCCGACCTGGGATACATAGTAAGGGAAAATAAACGTTTCTTGAGGGCGAAAAACATAAATACTTGAACAGCATCTGATAGTATAAGCACTATTTCTAGTGAAAGATGTAATAAACTAAAAGATTAAATGCGTATCTTCTCACTATGAAACAAGCTGAGATTGCTTGCTGGGTACAGCAGAGGGATTTGCACAGCCACATGAGCAAAAGCAATTCTGTCTGGGTTTCAAGCTCAATTTCTGCTATTCAGATACATAAAATTATCTAAATCCTATCTTGCAATTGACAGGTAGCAGGACAAGGTCAGTTAATCACAGCAGAGCAGAGGAGGGAGGGCAGGGTTACTCTGATACACACAGTTCAGAAACAAGAGCATGTTTGCCAGGGATTCAGCTGATCATTGCTTCTCCTATCTCGGTGTTGAAGGCAGCTGTGTGGGTGTCGTGGCGTGGGAGGCAAACACAAAGAGGTGGAGTCTTTACTTAGCTGGGCTGCCATGCAGAGGGCCGTCATGAGGCTGAAGAAGGGTTTGCTGTGCTTGTAGGGAGTGGAAGAAGAATTGCTGCAACTAATTGCAGGGCTCCAGACTGTAATTTAGATGTGAACTGTAATAATAATAAAAAAAAAAAAAGCCAAATTCCCTTAGGAGGAGGACAGTGTGCAGCTGGAGAATTTTAAGAAGGAAGAAGAAAGGTCAAATTTACTTTTTTTGAGAGGGAGAAAAAAGGAGACTGTTGCTGGATGAAGAGTTCTGTAAGGCTGCAAAAGCCTCAGTAGTGAAGAGAAATTGACATATTAGATATATGTATTTACCTAAAATTTGCATTGTTTAATCTGTTAGTCACTGAGTTAGGATTTAAGGTCTGAAGCAATTACACAATCCATTCCCTTGCTTCAAGGCAGGATCTCTTATGCCTCTGCTGCCCCTAGCAGATACCCGGTAGCCTGTTGCTGGAGGCCACTTTGCAGTGCATCCTCCAGACTGCAGAAAGCCTTCTCTATAGCATTACTGTCTATGGAAAGCATTTCCCAATGCCTCATGCTTCACCTACAACACCCTAAAGTCACTACAGCCAGTTCCTATTGGAGCTAGTACAAATGCAGATACACTCTTTCTTTGACATTACAGCTCTCCCGAATTTTCAGTGTGCAACTGTAACAACCAGAAAGATCAACACAATGGAGTAGTGTTACAGGAGATGCAATGACAAGGGAACCAGAGCAATAAAAAGGTATTACGAGGCAAAATGGCTCACCTACCTCTGAAGATCCAGGCTTACAGGAAAAGCACCACAAGAGAGGGATCTCCAACCAGAAATCTTTTCCTAGTGGCAGTCAACCTTAAATGAGGTCTAAGAGAGGTGCAGCCAAGCTGCGGCCCTTCCGGTCACGCAGCTGAATTGCCTTCACCTGTGCTTGCAGGACTGACCAGGTCGTTTTCTCAGGTGCTCAGTCAGTGGTTCAGGCCATGACTCAACAGTTACCATACAGTAACATTCTCAATTTTTTCATGCATGTTAGTCTTTTGTTAGGGATCAGATTTTCTAGACTGCAGACGGCACTTGTTTGCACTTGTTTGCCTCTGTTTCCTTTGTGCAGCACACAGAGTGCGGGTGACTCCAGCCATAACCTTTGTAACCCAAACAAACAATAGTGCAAGGTTCTGTCACTCTTTAGCCTTGTGTATTCCTCCTTGAGGCTGGCCTTTCTACCATGGTTAATATAACACGTAATATATAATATGTAGTGCCATAGAGGTGATTAGAAAAAGCACCTCAGCCTTCCTAGGGAATATCCTGTATAGAGAGATGCAAAGCAGCACAGGCTGCCTGTGATTGAGTGGCAAACTTTGGATACTTTGCCTGTGGCAGATGGAGAATCTGTTCTCCTGCAAGCTGTTGCTTTTCCAGTCTGTGTGCAGGGAAGGTGGGTAGGGGTCCTATCATATAAAGCCCCTCTTATGCCAAATGCCTAAGCAGCCTTTCCTCAGCCACAATCACCTCTAGGATAAGGCAGACCTCTCCCTCTTCTCCCCTGCTCTCCAGTCCCTCTCTGTGCTGTTGATGTCCCAATACAGCTGCACCTTGAGCTGGGTAAAATGCAGCTGAAAAAATCAATCAGCCCTTAGGGACAAAAGTCATTCTGCCTTTACAAAGTCAGCTTGATTGTCACAATATTTTGTTTAGAGCAGCAGGACTATCCCAGGGTGTCTGACCTTGCACATTTGAGTCTTCGGTATATTGATAATGGTATCTGGGGAACAGAGCATCCTCTTGTGCTAGTAACAGTGCTAACTATTAGTGTACAATTACTGTTGTCAGTCCCTTTCCCTCAGACATTTACAGTATCACCCCTAATATCTCTAGTGGCTAATTTAAATAACTCCTGCAAGAAATACTAAACTGGAGTCTTAGAAACAGGCCTTCTCTGATTAGCTGAGTTCTGTGATGCAGATCCAGCAGGATGCAATTAAAGTCATCCCCATGAATGTGTGCTGCTGCAGGATGAGAGGAGGGTTCAGCTCATGCAGTGCAGCCACTGGGGCTGGGTGCTGGAGCCTCCAGCTCCTTCTTTGTCCAATGGAGACAAAAGTGCTCCCACAGAGGGAAGTCCATCCCATCTATTCTAGTAAAGGTGGGGGTAGTTAAGCTAGGTTATCTTAAGCCCACCTGTCTCTGGCCCAAAGCATGGTCAAGAGTTCCTTCTTTTTCTCCTTGTCAGCTTACTGCAGATGCTAATTTAAAGTATATTAGGGCCTAATCCTATTTTGGGTCTGACTTGTTAGCCCTACAAAATATAACAGCTTGCAGGTGTTTGGAGGAATAGTTTAGCACATTTAGCACACTTTTTTTTTGTGATTATTTTCAGGGAGCTCTTTAAATAACCATTAAACTTTGACAACACCAAGCAGAGACGGCAGGTATTTAAAAATAAAATGAGGAGAGAGGAAAAAAAGCAGCTTGATTGTAAAACTAAGCAGCAGGGCCCTGGACAGCACACCCCTCCCTTGTGACCAGGCTGCTTTTTAAGAAACCAGTGCTTTGCTACTGCAGAGCTATAGCAGATTTATTTTTTATTTCAGAGGCATTTATCTGCCCTGGTGATATTGCTGTTCTCCCTTCTGTACAAATGCATGGTCACAGGTCCAGGCCTGAAGGGGTGAGTTAAGGAAAAGTCTAAACCCACTCAAATTTATTTTCTTCCCCCAGCTTTCTCCTGCAGTTGGGCTGCATTTGGTCTGAACACTGGAGCTTGCTGAGGGATGTTTCTGGCTGTGGCTGCTTCTGCAGCACCCACCGTGCATGTGGACCTGTGGTTTTGATGGATCAGGTGTAGCTACCACCCTATGTCATGGCCTCATTAAGTGCCTTGCACTTAGCACAGCCAATCGCAGCTTCAGCTAATTTCCCTTTCATTTGTTTCATGCTCTCAGTAATAGAATTATAGAATCATAGAATGATTTAGATTGGAAAGGACCTTAAAGCCCATCCAGTTCTGGCCTCTCCTGTGGGCTGTCTTCCCCCCCATTGGATCCCACTGCCCAGCACCCCATCCAACCTGGCCTTGGGCACCTGGTCAAAAGCTGAACAAGTCATTTCTTTCTATTTCTATCATAAGGGCCTGACTGCTACACAGGCATGCTTGTGTAACTATGGAACTGAGATGTAGTAAAAAATATATATATATATGTATATATGCTTTGCTTTTTGTTTCAAAAAGCCTTGCTTATCCTAAATCTCCAGAGATCCACAAAGTGTTCATGTTCTGTTTGTCCTGTGGTCATTCTGCAGCAGTGCCCTACAACACAGACACATGAAACATATTGTCTTGAGGCTGGTTTGGTTAAGATTGCCTTCAATAAGTAGAGGGTAAAGCGTTGCTATGAATAACTGGCAGAGTGCAAATAAATGCACATCACCAAGGTAGCAAATGTGTGAGTGTAGACTTTGACCTATTAACTGCCTCAAAAACATTTTTCACTTAAATGCTTGCAATTTATCCTGTACTTTCTCCTGTCTTCTGTGACATCAGGGTAAATGATGGCTGTGCTGTTGTGTCCATGCAGTGGGCAGAGCTGCTGGGTGTCCCAGACACCCTGCTGAAGCCATGGGGTGTTGAGCAGTGCTGGGTGTGCTGATGGCATCGACCTCCTGCCATGAACAGATAATGGGATGAGCTGGGAGTCACTGTGTTTGGGATGTTTGCAGAAGACTGTTCAAACAAATATTGCAACACCTGGAAAACAAAGATGCTCCCAGAGGTAAAAGGGAGAAAACAGCTCCTGTTGCAAAGCAAAGAGGCAGGATTAAATGCGTGCTGCTTGGAGAGATGAGCAGAGAGAGTGGAATAATGGGGAGGAAGTATTAAGGGTTAAGAAAGAAAGAGGGAAATGGGTCCTTTATCTTGGTATTAAAGGTTTAACCCAGTAATTCTCCCTTTTTCTCTTATTTCTGGGATAAAAATAAGAAAGCTCGGAAAGCTTAAGGGCTAGATTTGAGATGACAGCCGTGAGGGCAAAGATGCTCAGACGCAACTGGGAACTTCAGAAATCCCTAATCTGCTTTTTCTTTGGGGGGAGAAGTCAGCACTTGACAAGAGGGGGAAAAAATAATGTGACTGCATTTTTAGATGACTACAGTCTTTAATAGTGGTATTATAATGGGGCTTGTTTATTTAATCTTAGCCAAATTTGTCATTGGCGAGAGCAAAACGCTCTTCTGTGAGTACCCAGAGCTTATTTGTCTATGGTCTTTTTCTGCAAAATTCCTTTTGGAAAGTTTAACTTTAAGGTCCGAAGTCAATGTGGTCTTAAAAATCAGAAGGCTAGTGGAATCCCCACAAACTGCAAGAAAATCCAGGCAGTGTATATGTCTCAGGCTTCTAAGTAGCGTCATTGCCATCTCCATAGTGGCTTAGCCCTGAATTCAAAATTCTTAAATTCAACAGGAGGCCACAACTGGTGTTGCTTTTAATACTTCCCTAAGAAGATCTTGTAGGGAATCTGCTTTTCTATCAATCCCACTCTGTTTTTGTGAAGATCAGATGTGAATAGAGCAAACACTGTGAGGCTTTCTGGCCTTGTTTGCCTGTCCTGGTCACAGAGGACTGTCCCATGCTCTATAAAGGGAGCAGCAGCTAAAATACAAAGAGATCTGCAGAGAAATTCCAAAGCAGCTTTGATTTTTTTCAGAAATGCTTTCCTGAAGGCTGGTTCTCCTGCAGAAGGAGATCTTCACAGAATCACAGAATCACAGAATGGCCAGGGTTGGAAGGGACCTCAAGGATCATGAATCTCCAACCCCCCTGCCACATGCAGGGCCACCAACCTCCACGTTTAATGCTAAACCAGGCTGCCCAGGGCCCCATCCAACCTGGCCTTGAACACCTCCAAGGACGGAGCATCCACAACCTCTCTGGGCAGCCTGTTCCAGTACCTCACCACTCCCTGGGTAAAGAATTTCCCCCTGATGTCCGACCTAAATCTCCCCTCCCTCAACTTAAAACCATTTCACCTTGTCCTACACATACCAACGCTTTCAAAGAGTTGATTCCCCTCCCCTCTGTAGGCTCCCTTTAGGTATTGAAAGGCTGCACTGAGGTCACCCCGCAGCTTTCTTTTCTCCAGGCTGAACAAGCCCAGCTCCCTCAGCCTGTCCTCATAGGGGAGGTCTTGGGTTAGGATCTCTGTTTTCATCCAACTGACCCTACTAAAAGAACAAAGAGCTCTTGTGCTGCGTTCCCCACCTTGGAAAAGAGAAGCTGTGCCGTGTTTTCTTCTTGTTCATCATCTTCAGTAGGAAGGATCCTGGAACCAGACCCTACTCAGCAGAGCTCACTGATGTTTGCACAAGATGGGCTGGAATACAGCTCTGCAGCTGTTGGATACCCTTAAGAAATAACTGCCTTTCAAGTGAGGAAATGGAGCTGCTCAGGGGACATGCACCTAGCGTACACAAAGGAGCTGCTCTCAGACTCAGTTTTATGACGAGAATCGCATTTGAGGCAGGTTCCTGTTAAGACAGGAAATACTGTTCTTATTGCAGAAAGAAGTTGGCCTGTTCCGCAATGTACTCGGGGTTATTTGCATTTTATGTCAGCAATAAAATACAGCAGATTTACAGGAAATCTGCCAACCTGTTTATTGAGCTTAAAATCTGACTTCCCCCTGCTGCTTTGTAATAAGCAATAAATGAACAAACACTGTTCTCTGAACAGAGCCTATTCCATCTGATAATACCCAGGATGCTTCTCCATAGGGAGAGGCTGAGGAAAGAGCCTGTTTGTTACCCAGATCAGATATATTTGTTATCCCTGCAGTG